GGTGACCGTTGGCAAGTCACTTAACCCTATTTGCTTCAGTTTCCCCATCTCTAAAATGAGCTAGAGAAGGAAATAGCAAAACATTCCAGTATCTCCGCCAAGATAGTGGGGTCACTAACAGTCCAACATGACTGAAACAATTAGACAACACCACCCTTCCCAAACTCTATTCTAGCCCACCTGACCTAAGACCTATTCACCATCCATGACATTTCCTGTTCTGCCTTCATACCTTTGTGTAGGTGGTCAGGGCAGTAGGAATGTCCTCATTTCTCAGCTCTAGCTCTTAGAATGCCTCGCTTGTTTCAGGCTCAGCTCATGTACCCCCTTTTACCTAGGCCTTTCTGATCCCCAGTTATTAGTGTTCTCTTCCTATTGAAGTAACTTGATATAAGGTTGTCCAAACACATCTCTACTTATCTCTCTGTGTAGGTTGAATGCCCTCAGTACAATAGAATGTAAGCTTTGTCTCCTGGAGGCTTCCTATGGTTCCCACACACAGTTGTCGCTCGATAAAAATACATCAAATTGAATTGCGTCATTCAGAATATCTTTCTCTCCCACTCCCCCATGGTATTTGGTACAGGGTTCTTGCCTATAGCAATGTGGGGAGTTGAAATAGCATTGAATTTGGAGTCAGGGGCCTGGGTTCAAATTCTGGCTCTCAGCCTTAGCTACCTTATCCGCAAGATGGTGATAACAGGATTTCCAGCCATAAGGTATCCCTTAGAGGTCATTTAATCAGCCCTCTTAATTTTACATATATGGAAATATTGACCCAAAGAGGACCTTCCCCAAGGTCACATGCAATAAGGGACAGAACAAGGATTTAAATCCAAGACCTCTGATTCCAAATCCAGTGTTCATTCAAATGCATCATCCTGCCTCACATGATAATTAATACCTGCACTTCTACCTCACAAGGTTATTGTGAGGGTCAAATAAGATAATTTAGGCTATCCTGTATAACTTAAAACTGCACTAAGACTTTGGGGACAACTTGTGTAAGTGCTGTGTATAAACTATAATGCATTGTAGAAATGCTAGATGCCGTTATTGTTATTGTTGTTAACAGGCCTCGGTAAATGTTCTTGATCTTAAACAAATTCCTGTCCAGTACAGGGGTCAGGGGAGGAACAGATTTAATTCCGAAGGCATTTTTAATGTAACCAAGCCAAAGCCAGAATGATCAAGTTGTTTTGTGTCACAGGCTTTAGGACTGGAGGGAATTTAAAGGGTCATCTAGTCAGACCTTTCCGTTTAACAGAGGAAGAAACTGAGGTCCTTTGAGGTCATAGGATCCAAGATCTAGAGCTGGAATTGACATGACAGGCCATCTAGTGCAGCCTCCTCATTTTATATGTAAGGAAACTGAGGCCCAGGGAGATTAAATATCTTGTCCAAAGTTACACAAGCAGTAAATGTCAGTGGTGGGATTTGAACCGAGGTCATCTCGCTCCAGAGACGATGCTGTCTCCTCATGTAGTTTATTGTCAGTTTTGTATATTTGATCATTTCCCATGAAGTGAATTGAAGAATTCCTTCTTAACCAGCTTACTTATTTATCAGTTCATGTATTATTCATTCATGAGTGCTTGGGTTTAAATATAGTTCAGAAAGTATTACTAGTGATATTTTGTATTTATAACCTGGAACCAATCTGAATTCTGTCAGAAAACTTGTCTCACTCAGATTCCCCAAGTCCCCTAGTAGTTTTGTTGCAGACTCCTGACCACATATTCCACTGGGGCAGCATTACCAGGAAGACGGAGACACTATTCAGAACCAGACTATATTGAGAATTGCCACATGACCTCCTTAAAATACAAAGTGATTGAATGAGTTTCCCAAGTAGGGCCTCTGCCAGGCTCTCTAAGATGAGGATTTCAGCACAGAGTCACCAGAGATAATAGGTATTGTAGTTATTTGGGGGAGAAAAGGAATAGGAGGAAGAGATCACTGTGAACTAGGTTAGCCATGGGACTTGGTCTGGGCAGTGAAAGATGGAAAGGATTCAAATTAATGGGAAAGAATAGCCTAAACCATTGAAAATGGAGATAATAGAATGCAGAGATAATAATATGTATCCTGCCTTCTTCCTTACCCCACCCCTATTTTTCAGCTCTAACTCTGAAAACACTACTTAAATGCATTATTAGTGTTTACTTCACTGCTTTACTTTGTTATAAGAGACCTCTTATGAAGTGAGAGTGATCTGTAAATGTATATAATGTGAAAACAAAGCATCAAGAAAACTTTAAGTGAAAATTGAGAGATGGGAATGTACAGACCATATTTGGAAGACAGCAATGAAGCCACTTTATGCATAAGAGTATTAGGTAAGTTAGAATCAAATTATGGCAGACCTTAAATTACAAGACAGAGAGTTTGTGTCTTTTTTCCTAAAAGCAATAGGGAACAATGATGATTTTTATACAGAGAAATAAAATAAAGCTGGGTGACAAAAGGTTTGTTGTTCTTCGGTCGTGTCTGATTCTTCATGACCTCACCTGAGGTTTTCCTGGCAAAGATACTGGAGTGGTTTGCCATTTCCTTCTCCAGCTTGTTTTACAGGTGAGGAAACTGAGGCAAACAAGGTTAAGTGACTTGCCCAAGGTCACACAGCTAGTAAGTGTCTGAGGCTGGATTTGAACTCAGGTCTTCCTGACTCCAGTCCTGGCACTCTCCACTGCGCCACCTGGTTGCCCTGAGACAAAAGGTTATTATGGTGGAATGAGGTGCATTGGAGGGGTAGAGACTGGATCAAGTAGACCAGTTAAGAGGTGACTTCTGTAGCAATGTAGTTGTCAGATGCAATGAGAGCTGTGAGGAGGGGGTGACTAGAAGAAATATTTCAAAGACATAGTGAACCCTGTGTGACACTGTTAAATTTTTGACATTCTGAATTTGAGGTGCTTGTCTTAGAGGAAACTGGTTTGAGAGAGAAGTCTAGACTCGAGTTGATAGGTTTGGGAAGAGATGGAAAATTTATCAGACCCTTTCCAACGACCACTAGTGGGAGTCAACTCTCTGCCACAGATGCTCAGTATGAGCCTTGATCGAGGGGAAGATGGAGGATATGGGGGCTAAAGAAAAAAAGCCCAGTACAGGAATAGAGAAGCTTGAAGCCCTGGGAGAAGCCCGAAAAGGGGAGGACAGTGACAGGTAAGGTAGAGTTTCCTCATATGTAAAATGAAAAGACTGGTTCTAAGGTCCTTTCCATCTCTGACATTCTAAGTTTCCCTCTATCTCTGAATTTCCGTCTTCTTTTGCCTATGTACTCACTAGCCTGAAAGTTGGGCTTGGATTTTTTAGAATTCAAAACAAAGCACAGTAGTGTTATAAGAAATGATGAGCTCGTTGATTATACAAAAACATGGATAGACTTGCACAAAATAACGAAGAGTGAAATGAGCAGAGCCAAGGGAACATTGTATACAGTAACATCAATATTGTTTTAAAAACTATTTTGAGCAACTCAGTTATTTCAGCTATTATGAATACCCAAATTAACTGCAAAGGACATATGAAGGAAGATGCTATCTGCATCCAGGGAAAGAACTGATAAATAGAGGTATCTATAGAATAAATTTACATATGTGTATGTGTGTATACATATATATATATATATATGTATGTATATATATATGTATATGTATACCTACTTGTGTCCAATGGTAGCCATCTCTAGGGCTGACGGCAGGTTGGAGTGAGGGAGGGAAGAAAAAAAGGAAAAAAGCTACATGATAACTTTATTAAGCATTTAGAAGGAATAACAAGTTATATATAATAGATTTGCAGTTTCAGGTAGAATCACTTTTTATTCTACTATGGTATGGAAATGCTTGTGTTATTTCACAAATTAAAAATAAAATAAAAAATTCAAAACAAAGAACGTCAGAGTTGCAAGAACTTGAGAACATAAGACATAAAACTTCCCTATCTTCTATGTTCCATAGCCTAAGATCTCTTCCAGCTATTCCATTAAGTTCTATGTTCTAAGGTCCTTTTACAATTCTGATGTTTTCTATGTTCTAAGGAGGCTTTCAGCTCTGACACTCTATGGTCTGAGAACCCTTCCATCCTTGGCCTTCTATGCTCTAAGGTGTATGGTTCTTCGACTTCACTCCATTCACAGTTTTGCTGTTTCTTAAGGGGATTTTGGTCTGAGTGATTTCACTGGTACCTACTAAGCTCTTTGTCAGCCTTGTTTCATCATCAAATATTCTAAAGCAGGAGTTCTTAACCTTGGGGCTCTGACCTTTTTAAAAGAAAATATTTTTGCTAATTGTATTTTAATATAATTGTGTTGTTGGGGGTTTTTGCCATCCTATGTTTTTTATTTTATGTGTTTAAAAATGCTATTCTGAGAAAGGTTCCATTGGCTTCATCAGACTGCCAGAGGAGTCCATGAGATGAAAAAAAGTTAAGAATCCCTGTTGTAGAAGATCTTGTTGACACTGTGTCCCACAAACCTAACATATGTGAGCAATGTTTTGCTATTGCTCCAAAAAGCAAAAATTGTCCCTCTGTGTAGAAATGGGAATGTGAGTCACTCCTATGTGTAGTACTTAGCATATTGTACAGATTCAAGTCTGTCTATAGAGCACATAGAAATGCTTTGGTAGTCACTGGGTACCCAAGGAAACAATGATGGTCAGACATGGTCAGAGTAGCAGAGCATTGCTAGGCATAGATGATATGATGGTATCATGCCAGATATTGATCACACAGACATAAAATATGTGGCAGAAGTGTCCTAGAGGCAGTGCCAAGTACAGATCACATAAAAATCAGTACTTGGCACTGTCTGGGACAAATTTGTCCCTAACTCATGGGGCTGGCATGAAGGTGCAGGGCATAGAAATGTCACATAATAATATTACTATTGCACTCTCTCCTCTCCTCTCCTTCTTCTCCTCTCCCTCTTCACTCCTTTTCTCTCCTCACCTTTTTTTCTCATTTCTTCTTCCCTCTTCTCCTCTCTCCGTTCTTTTTAGTCCATGAGCCTCATAGAGATCGGGAACCCTTCCCAGAGCTTGGAGAACGTGTGTCACTGGGCCTTTCTCCAACGGAAATCAGATACAAGCCAGGCGGAGTCTCACGACCATGCCATCTTTCTCACCAGACAGGACTTTGGCCCATCAGGGATGCAAGGTAAGCTCTCCTGCCTGTTGCTCCTGGGCTGCCTGGGTAGATGGGGAGGGATGCCTGTGCTGCTTTCTGTCTGGTTTCATCTTCTCCTGTGCTGGAACTGGGGCAGGGGATATGCCAAGGGAACACTACCCAGTCACATAGCTTAATCCCTATAATAGAACGTGTAGGACCCTGACTTGCACCACTCTAGACACAGACCACTTGGACATCCATCCCAGGACTTAGGACAGTGCTTTGTATATGGTAAGAGCTTAATAAATCCTTTTTCATTCATTTATCATTCTCAGAGAAACCTGTAGCTGTGCCCTTCTTAAGCTTTGCCCATCTGACCACACTAGCTGGTAAACTGGCATCCTCTCAGCCCTCATGACTTCACTGTTTTTTCATTCCATTGTTTTTTCATTTCAAAATTTTCATATTGCCATCATGGATGGCCTCAGTTCTTGAGCATCTATCCCCTTTTCTCTATCCATTGCCCAGTGTAAAGATGAGATTCCTCTAAAGGATAAATAATTTTAAGAGAAAGAGTAAATTAAGCTAACAATATAGACAAGGGTCCGAGAAAACAGAGTGTCCACCTTGTCATTTACCAGTTGGATTGCCTGAAGCTCAACTTTACAACCTAAGACTCAATGTTGGCTTTATCCCTTCTTGACTTGGGTTCTGAGTACCATAGGTAGACCCACTGCGTGAGGCCTCTCCCCTTTAATTCTATGTCAAAAACTCACATTTCCTTGCTATGAGGACCATGACACTGCCCACCTTTGGATTTCCTCCCTTTAATTCACTGATCCAGTTGTGAAAAGTCCCATGACCCTGACCAGTCAGGAAGGGACACCTTTCTTTTTCCCCATCTCTGTCCCCTGCCCTCCCTCAAATGATCATTTCATCAGTAATTATATGATTGGACACCATTCCCACCAGAGAGTCTTCACAAAAGTATTCCACCTAACATAGATGAATTACATGTTATGCCCATAGCCAATCTTTCCTATGTTCACAAAGAAAATTTCCTGTAATTGATTTTTTTCTTATGAACCCATACTCCTCCCCCAATTCCCCAAATCCTCTACCAGTAGCCAATCTTGTGGTGATGAGGCTCTTTAAACTTGGCTTGACTGGTTTGGGGGGTGGCACATGCACAGTCCATTGCCAACTGGTATTCACAGGTTTTTCGGCTTGGTATGGGACCTGCCAGAGTCATTGCCAGGGTATCATCGCCAGAGTGACTCCAATAGCATGTTGTGAACTCAGAGTAAGACTGCAGTGAAGTTAAAATTGGCAAGAAGAGATCCAGCATGTTGGGTGCAATCTCAGAATCTTGAGGTTCTCAGGAGTCCCAGAGGCCATCTAGTCCAATTGAAACCTGAAAAAGAAGCCCTCCTTCTACACATACCTACCTGGAAAGTAGTCATCTAACCTTTACCTAAAGACCTCCAGTGAAGGAGAACCCACTACCTTCTAATTCGTTTCTCTTTGGGAAAACTCTAATCATTAACATTTGCTTTTTTAAAAATTTATGTTATTTTTTTTTACATTACAAACATTTATAGATGAATCCTCCATGAGGGGCCTCATGTAACAAAGTAAAAGAATTAGGTAAAACTACTAATAATACAGTGCAAATCACTTCACCCTGTTTGCCTCAGTTTCCTCATCTGTCAAATGAGCTGGAGAAGGAAATGGCAAACCACTGCGGTGTCTTTGCCAAGAAAACCTCAAATAGGGTCATGAAGAATCAGACATGATTGAACAACAACAACAAAAATAATAGTGATCTGATCTGAAAGTACTTACAGCATGTCACATCTGTAGCACATCACACCTCCCCCATTTCTCTGTTTAAAAAGACAAAGAATGGAACTCTGTCTTCTCTCCCTCCTAACAACAAGCCTCCATCCACATCACTACACCTTCTTCCCCCTATTCATCTCCCTTTTACCATCCGTGACCAAACATGAAAAGTCTAACCCCTTTCCCAAATGACAAACTCCTTCAAGGCAGCCAGCTCTCTTGTTTCTCCTGAATTTTCTATAGAGAATTTTTTGGAAAGACACGGATAGGAATTCTATGAAACGAAAAGGTAGGTTGTCCTAGTGGACCACTGACCACAACAAGGTACTCATGAATCTACTCCAGAACCTCTTTTGGTAATATCAAGTCCAGAGATTGTTGACCCTTGGTGACAGGGTTGATGAGTGCTATTGACTTTTCTGCTCCCCCTAAATCCAAGCCTTTTCTTGGTTGTAAGTCAGCATGGCATAGTGGAAAGAGCTCTGAACCTGTCAGGAAAACTGACCTGCCTTTGCCACTTAGTAACCATGTGACCTTAGCCGAGTCACTTAACCTCTGTGAGCTTCAGTTTCCCTATCTGTAAAATGGGGATAATAATACCAAATAGTACGTGCCTCACAGGTTCTTGTGAGATGATGTTGTTGTCCACTACTAAAATATATATAAAATGCTTTGCAAAACTTAAGGTGGTGGTGGTAGCTGTTGTCATTGAGTTGTTTCAGTCATGTCCAAGTCTTTGCCACTCCATTTGGGGTTTTCTTCACAAAGATACTGGAGTGATTTGCCATTTCCTTCTCCAGCTCATTTTTACATATGAGGAAACTGAGGTTAACAGAAGTGAAGTGACTTGGCCAGGGTCACACAACTAGGAAGTGTCTGGGGCTGGATTTGAACTCAAGAAGATGAATCTTCCTGACTCTAGGCTCAGCACTCTATCCATTGCGCCACCTAGGTGCCCCAAAACTTCAGGAGCTATGTAGAACTCACCTAAGAGCATCATCTTTAGTATGATAATTTAAAATTGTTGTTTGACCCATTTGTGACTACCTCCACTGCCATATGTATTAGCCTATAAGGCCATGTGGTATAATAAACCGTAGGAGACTCGATTCTCCAAACTCCATATTCCTTGTCCTTTTTATATTTCATTCCTAGCAAAAAGGCATCTTTATGCTGTGAGTCAGGAGCCAGCACTGAGTAGTAGACTTTGGAATTGGAAGGGATCTCAGAGGCCATCAGGTTCAATCTAAATAGAAATTCCCTCTACAATATTCCTGATCAGTGGGATATATCCTTGGCTTGAAGATTGCCAGTGATGGAGAACTCATTACCTCCCAAAGAAAACCCATTCTGTTTTGGATATAATGATGATAATAGCTAACCTTTTTGTAGCCCTTTAATGTTTGCAAAGTGCTGTACGTATATTATCTCATTTGATACCCATGACCGTACTATGAGGTTGGTGCTCTTATTACCAATGACAATGAGGAAACTGAAGCTGAGAGAAAGGAGGTCAAGTGATTTGCTCAGAGTCGCCTAGCTAGTAAATGTAAGAGGCAGGATTTGAACTGAGGTCTTCCTGACTCTCAAGTTCAGCATTCTAACAACCTAGTTTCCTGTAATGGCTAGAAAGCTCTCCCTTCTCTCCAGCTGAAAATTATACCCTCACAACTTCCCTGCACTGTTTATAGCTGTGCCTTGTAGGTCCAAACAGAATGAGACCAATCCCTCTGCCACCTGACAGTCCTTCAAATACTTGAAGATGGCCGTGTTGCTTCTCTGAAATCAATGAATCAAAATTTATTAAGCAGCTGCTATGTGCCAGACACTGTGCTAAGTGCTTTATAATCATAATCTCATTCAATCCTCACAACAACCTGAGGGGAGGGCATGAGAGGTTCTATTATTATCCTTTTTTTACAGATGAGGAGGCTGAGGCAGGCAGAGATTAAGTAACTTGCCCAGACCCAGACAGCTAGGAAGTATCTGAGGTTGAATTTGAACTCAGATCTTCCTTGCTCCAAGTCCAGCATTTTATCCATGGTGCTGCACTTATATGCTTGATTTTTTTTAACTCCAAAGTAGGACTTTGCATTTATCCATTGATTGTATTAATTTTATCACTTTAGATTTGTCCCAACATTGCTCCCACCAAGGTATTTTTAGATCCTAAGTCTGTCATCAGCATAATCGTAGCTCACATTTATATAGTGGGTTAAACTTTACAAAATATTTTACATATGTCACCGCTTTTGGGACTCACAACAGTGCTGTGAGAGGTATTCTCATTATCCTGTTTGACAGGTCAAGAAACTGAGGGTCAGAGACGATTAGGTCACTTACACATGGTTACACAGACAGTAAGTTTCTGATACGGCAGTTGAACCTAAATCTTCCTTATTCTAGATTCAATATTCTTTCCACTCATCTGTGCTAACTTAATTGACTCTACCTTCCAGCTTCTGGGATAGTTAGGGGTTGAGAGCTGCCCTCAGGTGCCTCCCAGACCCAGTGTAAGACTCATTTTGGAGATTCGGTGTCGGTGATGGTCTCTCCAGAAGTGCCAGATGAAGGCAGGCTTTTCCAGACCTTTCTGCCACTCCACAGGAGAACCCCATGGCACAGGGAGAGGTAGCCTGTTCCTTGTCCTTTCTTCTATAAGCTGTCTAATTTAAAATTGTAAGACCTTAAGCGGGGACTGTGGGTAATTCCAGGCACATAGTATGTGGCCGTCATTATAGCAATGATCACAGTTAATTGCCCAAGTCCCAGGGACCCACCAGGGACAACTTGGGACCAGCCATGCCCTTCACTTCTGGCCATTAATGGAGATGTTCATCACTTGAGCACTAATGTGTTCATTTGCACACTAATTGCTTGGCTGCTCTGTGTTTGTGTCCAGGAATCTCAGTTATCATTCACAAATTAGCAGAGCCAAAATCAGGCAGAACTACTAAGGATGCAAGGGGGTGGAGGGGGTAGAGATTTGAACAAATCAATAAGGGGCCTGCAACTCCAATTTTCAAAGACTTGTCAGCAAAAAACTGTCATCTAAGAAGAGTCACCAAGTCCAACACATAGGGTCTTAGCTGGAAAAGGCCCTTAAAGATCACCTAGTCCAGCCTCTTAATTTTACAGATGAGTACACTGAGGGCCAGAGAGGAGAACTTAATTTGTCCAAGTTGCATAGGTTATAAAAAGCAGAT